GGAAAAGGAAGTGGGGAAAGGAAGAGGAAAAGGAAGTGGGAAAAGGAAGAGGAAAGGAAGTGGAAAAGGAAGAGGAAAGGAAGTGGGAAAAGGAAGAGGAAAAGGAAGTGGGAAAAGGAAGAGGAAAGAAGTGGGAAAGGAAGAGGAAAAGGAAGTGGGAAAGGAAGAGGAAAAGGAAGTGGGAAAAGGAAGAGGAAAAGGAAGTGGGAAAAGGAAGAGGAAAAGGAAGTGGGAAAAGGAAGAGGAAAAGGAAGTGGGGAAAGGAAGAGGAAAAGGAAGTGGGAAAGGAAGAGGAAAAGGAAGTGGGAAAAGGAAGAGGAAAAGGAAGTGGGAAAAGGAAGAGGAAAAGGAAGTGGGGAAAGGAAGAGGAAAAGGAAGTGGGAAAAGGAAGAGGAAAAGGAAGTGGGAAAAGGAAGAGGAAAAGGAAGTGGGAAAAGGAAGAGGAAAAGGAAGTGGGGAAAGGAAGAGGAAAAGGAAGTGGGAAAAGGAAGAGGAAAAGGAAGTGGGGAAAGGAAGAGGAAAAGAAAGAGGTACTCCATCACCATAAAGGAAGAAAGAAAAAGGAAAAAAAAAAACATGAAAAGAGACAATACCTTGTGTATATGTGTGTGTGTATCTGTGTCTGTGTGTACGTACTTCCATTCAGTGCCTTGACCGAATATGTTAATGAAGGATGTTCGCGCGTGAATGAAAGCATTGTAAGACAAGGCTTTTGTTTCGGGAGAGGACAGTGCTCTCGTTTACGTCCCGGATGCTTCACGGAGAGTCATGAAACGTGGGGATTAATCCTGAGACTTTTAAAGCTGCATTTTCGATTGACACTCAACACGAGTACGGTTTAAAGCACTGGGATTCTGAGGGAGAAGTGACTGCTACTTTTACTTCAGAGCCGTGAGTCATCGGTGTCCTTTTTTTGATATTTAGATGATCAGGAACTTCATCGAGCTGGGGGGGGGGGGCTGACGTCAGACGTGACGCAATGAGGGAATATGTCAGTGAAAGATTGCCTTTTCATTGGCATGAAGTGAGCTTGATCGGATTTTTATTTTTTTTTTTATATACCAATATTTCACTTTCAGAAGCAGGATCCGCGGGAGGTATAATCTCTCTCTCTCTCTCTCTCTCTCTCTCTCTCTCTCTCTCTCTCTCTCTCTCTCTCTCTCTCTATCTCTCTCTCTTCTTTCTCATCGTCACCGTTTATCTATCTATCTGTCTATCCAGCCATCTATCCATCTATCAATACCTATTAGTCAATCTACCCACCTATCCATCTATTTATCTATCTATTCATCCATCTATCTCCCCTCTCCTTCTCTCCCTCTCCTTCTGTCCTTCTCCTTCTGTCCTTTTTCTTTCTCCCAAATACTTTCCGTGATATTCTTCCTTCTCTCAAGATAACATTTTTTTTTCTATTTTTTATTTTTCTTCTTTTTTTTTAGACTGGAATTAAAAAGTCTGCTCGCTGCGCCCGATCTCTAAGCTCCTCGAAGCTAATGGAATTGGAAACTCCTCTCAGATATCAATTCCGACTGATTATTTTTAAATCGTGGATGAAAAAAAAAAAGAAAATGAAAAAAAAAAATGTCTAGGATTCGTTATTATTTGCGAGTGAGTGAATTGGACAACCGTTCAAATAACCGTTTTATTTTGTTGAGTTTTTTTTTTCTTTTTTTTAATTTTCGTTCGTTTCAAAAGATATTGAAGGAGAATGAATTTAATTGCTCGAAGTTTCTGGAGGATGAGATATTTTTAGAAGTTCGGGATTACGGACTTAAAGTTGTTTTTAAGAATTAGATTTTCGTTTTTCTTGTGTCTTTCCTAATTCGGATATCTCTCCCTTTCGATTACTTATTATCATAATCATTTTTATTCCTTATTCAACTATCTATTCACCTTTAATAATAATGCAATTAACCAGGAAACGAAAATTTCTGAAACGTAATCAAAACACAAACAATCGTGATTTCAGATTCCACAGATACGAAAAAGAAAAAACTTTCTTTATAAAGACCTTCGATATTTAAAAAAAAAGGAGTGGTTATTCATGTAGATGGGCAATTATTCTTTCTTTTTGATGTATTGATATTGGATGGAGGGAACGCCCCCCCCCCCTCTCCCCTCCCCTCCCCATCCCCCCTAGCGACTTTGATGTTTCCGAGTTCTATAAGCAACATGTTTCATCAAAGTCTTTCTTTCTTTTGCTTTTTATTTCCATTTTCGTCCTTTTTTTTTAATATTTAAGAGGGAAGGGGGATACAGGATATATTCTTTTGTCTTTTGAGGGGTGTCTTAATTATTCGTTATATGGCCGATTTCCTCTTGATCTGTAATGAACGTATTTTTTTTTCTCTTCTATGTTTCTCTCTCTTTTATTTTCCTCCTTTTTAGAAATATTTATGAGGGAGGGGGATACAGGATATACATATTTTTTTGAGGGGGGGGGGAGTTAATTATTCCATATAAAGCCGGTTTCCTCTTGATTTTTTTTTTTTTTTTTTATAAACGTAACTTTCTCCACACGGCGTAAGTTGGGGCTGGAGGTCGGGGAAGAGGAAAAAAATATTTGTAAATTAGCGGTTAAAGTAAAGGGAAAATGGAAAAAAAATACCTTAAGACAGCATCGCAAATGAGATAAACAGAATAAAAACGAGAGTGGAAAGGACAGACGAGAAGGAGAGGGGAAGGAGGGAGGGGGGGGAAGAGGAAGAGGGGAGAAAAAGTGCAAATGGGGGAGGAGAAAAGATGGAGAGGAAGGGAAAGGGAATCGGAAAGAAGAGGGGCGAGAGAGAGAGAGAGAGAGAGAGAGAGAGAGAGAGAGAGAGAGAGAGAGAGAGAGAGAGAGAGAGAGAGAGAGAGAGAGAGAGAGAGAGAGAGAGAGAGAGAGGTGATAAGGACAGGCGTGAGAAAGGAGAGGAGAGGAGGGGGAAGAGGGGAAGAGGGAGAAAGGAAGGGAGACGAGGAGGAAGAGGGGAGGTGTAAGAGACAGGAAAAAGGAGAAGAGGGAGAAGAGGGGAAGGGGAAAGAAGAGCAAGAAGAGGAGATGAAAGGAAAACGCTGAAGGAAGAGGGGATGGCGAGGGAAGAGGGGGAATGAAAGGAGAGGAGAAGGGAGAGGGAATGAAAGGGAAGAGGGAGGAGAGTGAGAAAAAGGAAGAGGAGAGGAGACAAAGACGATAACGGGGGGAAGGAATAGATAAGGAAAAGGAGGAAAGAAAATTAGAGGGCGAAAAGACAGGGGAATGAAGAGAAGGAGAGGGAGGAGTGAGTGAGTGCGCCTGCATTACGAGCGAGGCAAAAGGCCACACTCTGACTCTTCAAAAGGAAAGCTTTATTAATTAATGTAAACATGCAGATCCGCCGACGTGGAAAAAGAGTATAAGTTTTCTTCTTTTCTCTTTAAAGCCTCCTTTTATCATCAACTCCCTTTATTTTTTTCACGTTTCATCATATCCAGTTATTTTAATCACAGCAATTAGCACTGTGACTTTGTAAGTAATAATAATGTAGACAGTTTTTTTTTTTCTTTTTCATCATATTTATCACTGAAAAGGAATGCATTGTATAAGTAAGTGACGTTTATCCCGATTTTGCATATTTTCTTCATCTTTATTTATTAATTTTCACTTTTACAAACAGAATATAAAACACCATAGAGGCCTGTGTGCGTTTGCATAGGCTTAATTCTGCAAGGAATTGTGAAACGTTTTATATTAACGTTTTGTGTAATTGGGTACCATTTGTATTTTTGAAAGTCCATGGTAGTCTCTGGTAAAGTAAACTGTACCAATGGCTTTGTCTCCAGAAATCGCAGTGGATATAAATCAGTCAGTCCGTGTCGCTCTATTTTCGGCTCGGAATGGCGTGCCCGAGACAAGGAGAGATGTCAGCCCCGTTTTCGAGTGCTGACTCTAATGAGCCATCAACATCTTTTGTTTTATAGAGCTGCTTTAATAGGATAAAAGCTGCCGACAAGAATTTATTGGGTGCATCATCATAGATCACGCCGGGAATGCAGCCATGTTTGTGTTAGTTAAATGAGCGCATTTTGTCATGCTGTCAACCTGTGCGTGTTTCTCACTCGCAAAGGAAGAGTTATTACTCGTACCCTAATTATCATTCTCTAATTTCCATATTGCAAAAGTTGCATTTTAATCACTTTGCCCTAACAAGGTAATAGTAGTATGTTGCGTGGATATTGATTCGTCTTGCATTACTCTTAATATTGTAATATGATTAAAGTCTGTTGCATTTACTGAGAAGCGGATTCGTGAACAGGACGATAAATTTCAACGTGCGTGTCGTGTCGCCTTCTGTAAAATTCATGCACAAGTTTTCATGGATACAATTTGTCCAGGCATTTGGCGTGGGATTGTATTATACATATTTTCGTATATCAGTGTCAAATATCATTGAATATAAGTGACTGCAGAGGCCTACGCTAATAGAAGGACCTGAAGAACCCGGCAGTCAAAAAAAAAAAAAAAAAAATGCTACCAAGTCCGTATCGACCTGAATGTCCGTATAGATCCGAATGCGCCTAAATGACGTGGGAAATGACGTCACGGATCAGCTGCAACGGAAAGAGCGACGCTTAATGCACGCAGATGAAGCTTGCGACCCATGCATCACATTCTCGCAAATAAAACGCCAAAGTTGATGTGTTGTTTGGCAAAATTATGATTCATACGTCTCGCCAGCTGATTGCCTTCGGGACAAACAGAATGGCGTGATGAAAGAGGTTAATTTTTTAAACATTGTAACACGAACCATGGGTTTTATCATTTCGAAGTCTTTTTATTTTTTTTATTTAAAATTTAAACTCGTCGCGCGTGGTCGCTGCTAATCTGCCGTCACATTTATCCCACGGTAAAGACTATCATCAAATGTTAAGCAGCAGTTGGTTGCGATATCGCTGTTGCAGTAACGTGGCTTTTAAGCTATGTTTAATTAGTGAAGGACTAGATAAACATGGTTGCAAGGGGCCATAAACTAAACTGCAGCGGATGTTTTTTTTAACTATTTGTTGCTAATCCTGTTGCATTAGAGCAACGAATGTTAAGTACATTTCGTAAAAAAACATTCAATACATATATAAAGCTATTGGACAATCGTCTTACTCTAACAAAAACCCACCTTATCACCCCATTTGACCTGAGAACTAACAGTCGTGACCTTGCAGGGGTCGCCGAGTCTTCCCGGGTGGTGTTGGCTGACCACCGTGAGCTGGATTCCGTGAAGCCGGGCAGCACCGTGACGCTAAGGTGTCGTGTGGACGGCGGCCCGGATCTCTACTATGCTTGGAAGAGGTAGGTGCGCTCATGTCTTCCTATGAGGGGAGGAAACGGAAGGCTCCGAAACGTTTAACGATCGTTACGAGAGTTATGACTTGTTACTCTTTATATATTTATTCACTCTCTTTATTTCCAAAGACATCGATAACGTTATTTGTTATAAGTTCTCGTGCTGTAATGTGTATGTAACTTTCATAGACATATCAGCTCTTATTATTTCATTATTAAAAAAAAATCATATCCTAACTTATCTAAAAAGAAAATTTCCTGAGTTTCATAAAATTTGTTCACACCATAGGCGATAAAGTGGATTAAAAATACCCAGTAAATCAACATTAGCTAAAGAAAACGAGAAGCGCAGCGCCATCTGGTGACGAAGAACAAAACCTCGCCGAGATCCCCCTTAACCGCCTTCCTTCCTTTTCCTCTCGACGCCCCAGGAACGGCGATTCGGTCTCGGGCCTCGGCGGGGTGACGGTCTCCCGGCGGCGTCTCACGATCGACGACTTCGACCCCACCGTCCACAACGGCGTCTACACGTGCTCGGCCTCCATCTACAAGCCAGGGACGCCCCAGCACCACGACGGCGCCCGCCCCTCGCACCTCACGGCCACCACCACCGCCTTCCCGCTCGTCCTCGCGATTAAAGGTTGGAGAGATAGCGAGGGAGGGGAGGGAGGGGAGGGGAGGGGACAGGGGGGAGTGAGGGTGAGGGAAGGAAGGAGGGAAGGAAGGTAGGGGAGGGGGAGGGGAGGGGACAGGGGGGAAGTGAGGGTGAGGGAAGGAAGGAGGGAGGAAGGGGAGGGAGTGGGAGGAGGGAGGGGAGGGAGGGGAGGGGAGGAGGGAGTGAGAGCAAGGAGGATGAGGGAGGGAGTGGAGGGGAGAGGGACAGGAGTGAGTGAGGGGAGGGAAGGAAGGAAGGAGGGAAGGAGAGGAGGGAGGGAGGGAGCGGGAGGGTGGGGAGGGAGGGGGATGGAAGGAAGGAGTGGGATGGAGGGGAGGGAAAGGGGAGGGAAGGAGGGAGTGGGAGGAGTGAGAGAGGAGGGAGGGGAGGGAGGGAGTGGGACAGGGGAGGGAGTGTAAGCGGGAAGGGATGTAGAGGGAGAAGGGGAGGGAGAGAGAGAAAGAGAGAGAGAGAGAGAGAGAGAGAGAGAGAGAGAGAGAGAGAGAGAGAGAGAGAGAGAGAGAGAGAAATGGGAAAGTAGGGAAGGGAGGAAGTCGGCAGTAAGATAAAAGAGAGAATATATGTACATCTATTTAGATTCATTCTAATAAAAAATAAAAAAAAATGTAAATCAAAATCACACAAAATGCAAAAAGCAACCAAACCCAACCTCCGCGAAAAAAATATCATCTCAAACCCCAGCTTTCCACCTCGCTCGCCCAACAGATCCACGGCTTCCCTCGATAGTGGACGTCCCAGAATCCCAGGTGGTAGGGCCGGACCGGGGGGCCTTACTCAAGTGCAGCTACGAAGAAGGGACGCTGACGGAGTGGTACCTTCAGGACAGCGGGCCTCTCACCAACAATTCCAGGTGAGAAAAAAAGAGAAAAAAAGAAGGAAAAAAGGATAGGGAGAAACAGGTTAATGTGAAATAGATAGTGGAGACTGGGTTTGCTGATTTGTTTCTGAATAGATGAATAGTTGAATGGTTGTGTAAATAGATAGATGGTTAGATATATAGGTGGCTAGATAGATGGCTAGTTAGGTAGATAGATCATTGGTTAGCTAGTTAACTAGTTAGGTAGAAAAATAGATGGTTAGGTAGATAATTAGTGATGTAGATATATGGTTAGATAGATAACAAACTAAATAGACCGTTGTTTGGATAGATAACTTGCTTCGTATATAGACTGGTGGTTAGATAGATATTTAGAAAGAAAGGTGGCAAGATATGTATAGAGATAACTGGTGTAATAGATGGTTGTGTAGATAGCTGGTTAAATAGATACATCAAAAGGTAAAGGATTCTACCGTACGCTGTGCGAGTGGTAGAATCTAACGCCACGAAGTACTACCTTCTCGCCTTCTCGGCCTCCTCGCCACCGCCTCTACTCGCATCCACTCGCCTCCGCTCGCCTCTGCTCGTCGACGCTGCAGTGAATATACATGCAAGGCGGGAGTTCTCGGTCCCAAGGCCAATTCTCCGCCAGAGTAAATAAATTGCTGAAATTTATACAGGTTCTCCATCCTCTGATAGAATCTCATTGGGTTTCCAGTCCGCCTTCTGCTTGATGGGGACCTGCAGCCGGTTTTGTCTTCGCTGAAGACACATAGACACAGCCAAACACACACACACATACACACGTATATATATATATATATATATATATATATATATATATATATATATATATATATATATATATATATATATATATATATTTATTTGTGTGTGTGTGTGCATAAAAAAGCATCGTCATCATCTTATATGTGGAAGAGTTAGACAGTGTAAGAAAGAAACCTAACCGAGTAAAAGAAACAAGAGAGAAATAAAAAAAGACGAGGATACCCAGAGCCCCGCCCATGACCACGACGCCAGCCCCCCAACCCCCTCCCGCCCCCGCCCGCACCTGCTTCATCATCTCACAGTCGTTTCGTCACTAACCCCACTAACTCCGCAGACACCTCGTGCTGGGAAACGGAAGCCTGCAGATCCTGGCCGCCAGCATGGGCGACGAGGGCGTGTATAAGTGCGTGGGCGTGCATCCCGACCGCGTAGATTCCTCCTCGTACGCTGCTACACTCACCCTTGCCTGTATGTGTTTCCTTGTGACTAATAACGATGGGGATTTGCTAACTATATTTATTCATTTATTTATTTATTCTCTGTTATTTACTAATGGTATCGGTGTAAACATTTCTTGGGGGAAAAAGCTACTTGGTTTATAATTTACTAATATACTGCAGTGTAATATTACTTACACTATATTAATACATTACATGCAGTTTTACCCTAATCCAATTAGTGCAGCTAGCACAAACCCTCCTAGCAACACATATAATCCAGTTAATTTTTCCGGCACCTCCCTTGGCATCGATTATCCACTTCCTCCATAAAGTTTTTTTTCTTCTTTTTTTCCGCGTCGCGCCCCGAGCAGACCTAGACGACAAGACGCCACCCACGCTGGAGCCAGGACCCAACATCCGGGCGAGTCACGTCGTGGGCAAGGGCGGGCGTCTGCGCGTGATCTGCCTGCCCCCGGCGGGATTGCCGCGCCCCGAGGTGACGTGGGTGGCGCCGCAGCTGCAGAAGCTCCAGTCGTCGGGCTCCATCCAGGTGGACGGCGCGGCGCTGGTGGTCGAGGACGCCACTGAGGACCACGCGGGGAACTACACCTGCATCGTGTCCAACCTCGCAGGAAACGCGTCGCTGGCGCTCGAACTCGTCGTCACCAGTAGGTCTTGGGGGGAAGGGAGAGGGAGAGGGGAAAGGAGTGAGCGAGGGAAGAAAAGAGAGAGAGAGAGAGAGAGAGAGAGAGAGAGAGAGAGAGAGAGAGAGAGAGAGAGAGAGAGAGAGAGAGAGAGAGAGAGAGAAAGAAAGAAAGAGAGAGAGCGAGAGGGAGGGAGAGAGCGAGAGGGAGGGAGAGAGAGAGAGAGAGAGAGAGAGAGAGAGAGAGAGAGAGAGAGAGAGAGAGAGAGAGAGAGAGAGAGAGAGAGAGAGAGATGGAAATAGAGACAGAGACAGGGATAGAAACACATACACAAAGACAGACAGAGTGACACAGAAACAGATATATAACCGGAGAAAAAGAGAAGGTCAGAGAGGGATACACAAGAGACGAGAAGAGAGAAAAAAGACCAAAGAGAGTCAAAGAGAGAAGGAGGATTTGTGTTCATTATTCACCGTGCTTTTAAAGGCTGAAAAACTAATCAAGGTTCAGCCGTAATCTCCGCCGGCTGCTGCCTATCAATACACTCCTACATTTCATTCCGTTCATTGTTTTAAAGACTATACTCATCCAATGTCTGCCATTCTACGAATCATATATATTCGAGATAATAATTCAGGGGAAAAATCCAACAACGGTCAATTGCTGTGAACATTCCTCATTAACTCTCACGATCGTCGGTTCCTCATTAATTCCACCTCATTAATTTGTCTTCCTTCGGCAGGGAAACCCGAGGTACAAATGATGACGTCATCGGTCTCCGTTCTTGAAGAGGAGACAGGTCGACTCGAATGCAGGATGGACACGTCGCCGCCACCTTACACGAACGTCTCCTGGACTCGGGACGGACACCCGGTAAGAGGGAGAGGGAGGGAGAGGGAGGGAGGGAGAGGGAAGGATGAGAGGGGATGAGAGAAAGAGAAAGAGCAAGAGAGATGGGAGAGAACAAGGGAGATAAAAGGATGAAAACAGGTAAGGAAAAGGGAAGAAGACGAAGAAAGAGAACACACCAAAACAGAGAACAACAACGGGAAACAAACAACAACGACAAAAAAAACAGAAGCAATAGACTTAATAACACCCCCCCCCCTACCAACCCCCATCCTTACGCCCACTCGTCCAACTACCTCACAGGTGAGCGTGGACGACTACCGCGTGTCTCTGTCGGGGATGGGCGAGGGCGTGAGTCAGGGCGTATCTGTTTTGCGGATCCGATGGGCGCGCTTGGAGGACGTGGGTCTGTACGTGTGCGTCGTGACCACAGAAGGACACCCGCCCGTTCACACCATGCCGGCGAAATTCGACGTTATAGGTAATTCTTATACGACTAGTGCCCTTAATTTCGTGTTTTTTATTTTTATTTTCATTTTCTTCCAGATCTGCATTTAAGAGATTTATTTATTTTCTTTATTCTATTTGTATCTTAATTATCTTCCTTTTCGTCATTATTGAAGTACGAAAAGGAAGTATCTTCATTAGGTCTCAATTTCCCTCCTATCGTCATCATTAAGGGATAAATAGAACGTATTAATATCCCAGTTATATTCCACGTTGTCATAAGGGGATAAAAAAGACATTTATTTCACAATTTTTTCTCTTCCTTTAATCAGTTCAATTTAATTTCTTTTACTTTTCTTCCCTTCCTCTTCCTTTAACGAATTTAATCTAACCTCTCTTCCGTTACTTCCTATAATAGATTTAATATTATTTTTTTCTTCCTTTACTGACTTTTTCTCTTCCGTTAATGAATTTAATTGAGTTTATTTTCTTGTGCTTCCATTTCTTCCTTTATTTCCTCTTCTCTTCATTTAATAAATTTAATTGAATTTCTTTTCCTTTCCTCCCGCGACAGAGCGACTGAAGTTCTCTCCTCGGCCGCTGGATTCGCGAGTGGAGGTTGGAGGGAACGTGAGCATCCCATGCGAGGCTAGGGGGGAGGTGACCCCTGAAGTGACTTGGTATCGGCCTAATGCTACTAAGGTACGGGATCTGCGGTCTCTAGATATTTTTCAAGGCGTTGTTTCCGATGGTATCAGATGGTACCACCTTTCTGTCCTCTTCTTATATCGAGCAGTCAGTAATATTTACGTATCATGTGTGTCTTTCCCTTCCTTCACTCCGACATTATTCAAACGTTTTTTTTCTCCGCTTCCGAAGACGCCCCCTGCACTTTTCTAACCCTCGCGCCGACGCCTCTAACATTTAAGTTCCACTTATTTTCCTCAATTAATTATTCTCCCCATTTTTTCCAAGATCCCCCCCCCCCCCCCCTCTGACCCCATTTCTTCTTCCCCATCCGACGTCCCTCCCCAGCTGGTGGAAGCCGCCAGTCGAGAGAACATCCAGGTGACGGACGGGACGCTGGAGGTGATCGGGGCGGAGCTTCAGGACAGCGGTGTTTACGTCTGCATGGCCTCGTCGCAGCAGGGCACGATCAACGCCTCGGTCAACTTGGCTGTTATAGGTGAGAGAGGAGAGGAGAGGAGAGGAGAGGAGAGGAGAGGAGAGGAGAGGAGAGGAGAGGAGGAGCGAGGGGCGGAAAAGAGAGGAGAGGGAGTAGGAGAGGAGGAACTAAGAGAGGGGAGGAACGAGGGAAGGAGAAGAGGAGCGAGGGAAGGAGAGGAGAGAGGAGAGGAGGAGTGAGGGAGAGTAAAAGAGGGAGGGGGAGGAGGAGAGAGGAGGAAAGGGGAAGGTAGGAGGGGGTAGAGGGGGTGTGGGTCGGAGGGAAGAGTGGGAAGAGATGAGAGGGAAGGAGAGGAAAAAAAGGGAGCGGGGAAGCAAGGGGAAGAAGGAGGAGAAGACAAAAAGGGATAATGAAGAGGCGAGAAGTGTGAAGTGGAGAGGAGGAGGCAAGAAAGAATGAGAAAAGAGAGGAGGGAGAGGGCAGGGAGAGGAGGGAGGAGAGGAAAGAGAGAGAAGACGAGGAGTAAAGAAGAGAAGAGAGGAGTGGAGAGAAGAGAATGACATGAGTAGAGGAGAGTAGAGGAGATAAGAAGAGAGAGAGAGAGATGAGAGAGAGAGAGAGAGAGGAGAGAGAGAGAGAGAGAGAGAGAGAGGAGAGAGAGAGAGAGAGAGAGAGAGAGAGAGAGAGAGAGAGAGAGAGAGAGAGAGAGAGAGAGAGAGAGAGAGAGAGAGAGAGAGAGAGAGAGAGAGAGAGAGAGAGAGAGAGAGAGAGAGAGAAAGAGAAAGAGAAAGAGAGAAAGGAAGAAAGAGAGAGAGAGAGAGAGAGAGAGAGAGAGAGAGAGAGAGAGAGAGAGAGAGAGAGAGAGAGAGAGAGAGAGAGAGAGAGAAAGAGAAAGAGAAAGAGAGAAAGGAAGAAAGAGAGAGAGAGAAGATAAATCCGTCCCAGTGCGGTTTCTCGTTCCCACTCTGTGTTAATTCGCAGTTTTATGAGACTGGAAGCACTATTTTCGACGATTTCATGTTCGTTCTTGCGTTTTTCATGAAGCGAAACAGTTTTGACGTGTTTTGCTATTAGGAATCTGCTATCACTTTTATGCTTTTATTGTGCATGCAGTCACGCAAGCACATCGGTCTGGTTATTGGAATCTGATCTTTTTGAAGCAGCATCCAGATATTTCTGTCACAATGTATGTCGATTCCTTCTGTTTGTATTCCTTTTTCTATCTGAATCTGTATATCTGTCTGTCTGTCTCTCTCTCTCTCTCTTTTTCTTTCTCTTTCTCTGTCTCTCTCTCTATATATATACATTAATATATAGATATATACATATACATATACACACATACATACACCACACATATATATACTTATATGTCTGTCTTCCTCGGTATTTCTCCCTTTCTATCCGTATGCA